TACCGATATATTTACCCCTACCGATATATTAGCCCCTACCGATATATCAGCCCCTACCGATATATCAGCCCCTACCAATATATTTGCCCCTACCGATATATTTGCCCCTACCGATATATTAGCCCCAAACGATATATTTGCCCCCACTGATATATTAGCCCTTACTCATATATATTTGTCCATATTGATATATTAGCCGGCAGGGGTTCTACTCTTAAATGCTGCAAATTTTTAATTTCTGCTCAGTTTCTGCTTGAAACTACGTCTTCTACTGGTGATTCTTATTGATGGATCAATAAAGCCACCATCACATAAAAATGGCGTTGGCGCATCCCTAGTTTTATCTGTAGATTGTTCTAGAGGACTTGCACTGTGCAGAAAGACCTTTTTTGAACAAAAGTGGTTTCAGCACCAGTTTTAAATTGGTTAAACTTTCTACAATCGGAGTCTCCTTCAGCTAATGTTTGAACTTTCAACTTCATTTATCACAATATTAGGATAATGTGGATAATTAGAATAATATAGGACTATTGAGCCTGCATCAGGATATTCAGTTAACACAATTTTTGCTTTTGCATTTATTACAACTGTAGTTTTAGAATAAAAAATAGTTCAAATCAAAACTGAATATTAATTGGTTCCCTTAGAAAACCTCCTTTTTTCACTAATTCAATTCAAAACAACACTGAGCTGTGTTGCATGGAGTCTAAAATGATTTTAATGACTTGTTTTTATGTTTTTCCTTCTACAGATTACCTTTGCCAAGTAAGTCAGCTGACTGGACACATTTTGGAGGTAAAATATTCACCAGAACAGCTTTGCAGTGAGAGGAGGAGATCAGAGGAGAGAGCCTTTAAAGTCATGTGGAAGGTTTTTTTTTTTTAGAACAATATTTTCCACTTTGTTTTAATCAAGTAAACTTTTCCTCCAGAGTTTTGACCAGTAAATGTACAAAATTCCAGGCTGACAGGTTGTAATACACCCTATTGTACGTGGTCCAACCCTGCAGACAGACTGACAACAAGCTGAACTGCTGCGGGGTAGCGCCGCGAGTCATAAGATCACAAGTTAAATAAAACTTGAGGATTGTGACTCGGACCATGAATCACGATTGCACCAAAGGGGAAAATAAAATCCTGCTCAACTGCACTGATGCTGCACCCTGATACAAGACGTTTATGTTAGCGCTGCAGTCAGAGCATTATCTAAGCATCGTCACGAGCTCTCAACCATCACCGTTAGGTTAAAATAAACCAGATTATTTCATCTGAGGTTCATCAAAACAAACTTCCCACAGTCACGATGAAGCTGCTTAACACAAATGAAAAAATGTCTATTTTGACATCTGCGTTTTTTTCAGTACTTGGTCACAGGAGTCACAACAAAACAGACCTAAACTCTGCCAGGTCCAACTCTGGACCTGAATAAAGTGCCCCGGGTAACGAGTCATGTCACTCCAGGTGTCTTACAGGGAGAAAATTGTTTGCAGACCTAAAATACTGTCCAGAGAATACTCTACCTGGGTTTTCCCCCTCTCTTAATTCTTATCAATTCAAATAATCTCCTTATTATTGAGTCTTTCTCTTTTTACCTTCAGTTTATTAATTTAAATCAGTTGACTTGTTGAGACAAACTGTTCAGGTTGATGACCAGGAATACTGCAGTTGTTGTCATCAAGGATTTTAATTTTAAATGGTCAGCAGTGGTGAAACCAGTTTCTTTGTTCCGAGTTCAAAACTAATGCCGCTCGTTCAGAACATAGAGCCCTAGAAACTTGTCTCGTTGTACAACAAGTTTTTTTTACCGACGTGCACGTAAAAAGACCAGCAGCTAACAGAACAATCTGATGTTCAGACATGCTTAAAATACCAACAGATACATTTGTTTGTACCTTTTTATTAAAGAAAGAAAACTCAGCAAAAGCCTTAGAGATAACTTGAAATAAAAATGTTTTTTTTTTCTATGAATAATTCAGAATCTGACTTATTCCTAAAAACTAACAAAACTTGAAAAAATGGATGGTACCCTTAAAAATGGGAAATAATTTGTAGGGACATGTTAAACTAGGGAGGGAGGGAGGGAGGGAGGGAGGGAGGGAGGCAGGAAATAAGGAAATAAGAAAGGAAAAAAATAAGGAAGGAAGGAAATGAGGAAAGAAAAAACAAGGAAATAAATAAAGAAGGAAAGCAATAAAAAGCAATAAGGAAGGAAGAAAAGAAATAAGGAAAGAAACAATGAAAAAAGGAAAGAAATAAAGAAATAATAAAGAAAAGAGAAAGAAGGAAATGAGGAAATAAATTAAGAAGGAAGGAAAGAAATAAGGAAGGAAGGATGGAAATAAGGAAGGAAGGAAGGAAATAGAAAAGTAATGCAGACATGTTCCTGTTTTTAGTTTTCTACATTCGCCTTATAATCTAGCTGTTTTTGTTACTTTTTTTGCCATCTTATTTGCAAAAAAATAAAATAATAATAATAATCTGTATGACTTTTTATATTTGTCTATTCTTATCGTTGTTGTCATCTTTCTTTGTTGAAATCAGGTCTCTCTTGTAAATGAGTCCTCGAGGCTCAATGGGATTTACCTGTCTAAATAAAGGTTGAATGGAAAAAATAAGGAAAAAAAGAAAATTAAGGAAATAATAAAGGAAGGAAATAAGGAAGGAAACAGGTCATTGTATGTTCTCATACGATGATGAATTTAGTTTTTACATTTAACCCATCACACGTGAGATACACCCAGGTGGAGCAGTGAGCAGCTATGTAGGCACCTGGGGAGCAGCTGGGGATTAGGTGTCTTGTTCAGAGACACCACGACGTGGTTGGGGATTGAACCTGGGACTTTCGGGTCCCGAGTTGGCTGCCCTGCCTCTACCCCATCTCAGCCCCTCATTGTGGTACACGCACAGAAAGCTAAGGACAGAGTTGATTCAGGACGTTCCTCTTGATTTTGTTTCTTGTGCAGTTCTATTGTTTTTTTTAAACACTTGTTGTTTCCAGTTGTGTGCGTGTGTGCATGTTTCTGTTGGTTTCCTCAATTTTGCCGTGGTTGTTCTCAGGTTCAGCTCCTCTTGATGAGCTCCACACGCTGCGCAGCCAGCTGTTCCTGCTGCACAACCAGCTGCTGTTCGAGCGCTACAAGAGGGAGCAGCACGCCGTCCGCAACCGCCGCCTCCTCCGACGCATCATCAACGCCACCGCGCTGGAGGAGCAGAACAATGCCATGGCAAGTTTGTGCACCTTTCTGTTGCTTTCCTCTGGTTTACAATGGGTCAAAAAAGGTTGTACGGCTATTTGTACTTGAGGTGCAGCAGTTTTGTTCTTTTCATATCTGTTGGGAACATTCATCAAACTTTTGTAACTTTTAATAAAACCAGCTCGTCTAATCACCCAGCATGCATTAATGAAAATATGGCTGAAGCTGCTTTTTGCAATCTGTTCAAAAATAAACCATTTCCCTCAGACCTTTAGTCCTTTTGACCTTAGCTTGGTGTGTTTTTGTGCAGAAGGACCAGCTGAACCTGCAGAGCGTGGACATCCTGTCTCTGAGGGAGAGTCTGCACGTGGAGCAGCAGCGCTACCGGCAGCTTTGGGACGACCGCGAGATGGTGGTGACCAGACTGCACAGTCAGATCAGACAGCTGCAGCAGAGCCGGGACGACTACTACACCAAGAACCAGGAGCTGCAGGTACCCTCAGAGCTGTGTCGAGCTCTCACACTAGCTCTCACTTCAGATATTTTGTTTCTTGTAATCAGTTAAAGTGGCTTTTGACCTGGAGTTGTTTGGGTCTTTGGAAGATCTTTGACTCTTTTACCCTGACAGCAAAACGGTTGAAAATCACAAAAGTTCTTTACATCAGAGCTAGAGGACAAATTAATGTCATCCAGGGGAAGTGAAGGGTTGCAAAGTTTCTTCCTAAGATGCCCAGGCCTAAAAACCACACCTGTGTCTTGTCTGAGTTTAAAAGCACAATATTAGGAGTCATCCATGTTTTTTGTCTCTAAGACAAGCTTGTAATCTGAAAGAACTGAATGGATTTGCCAGATTTCTTGGATAAATATAACAGAGTATCATCAGCATAACACTGTATAAAAAAACTTTACCAAATTATTATTATTATTATTAGACCTTTATTTATACAGGTTAGTTCCCATTGAGCATCGAAGATTAATTTACAAGAGAGACCTATACATACAACATACAGGCAGATGAGAAAAAGAGAACACGAGGGTGGAGGAAGCCAAAAAAAAATCATGTCTCGCATCATTTCCTGACTGGGAAACAGTTTAAAAGATGCAAAAATGACCTTGCAACATACGATGACATCATAATACATTTATGCATAGAGGTCAACATATGAAAAACAAATGAACGCATAAATGAAGTTAAGAGTGTTGGTCCAAGCACAGAACCCTGAGGAACCCCTTGAATAACTTTGGTGTTGGAAGAAGGTTCATTATTAACATTGTGAGCATTAAAGTGTTGAGAAATTTTGGTTGACTGGAAGCAAAATAAAAAGAAAAGAGAGATGATTCTTAAGTTTTGTGCATGTGCACAATATTTATACTGATGGCAACATTTGTGGATCATCACATGGACAAACATCTGCGTAACCAACACAGCTTTAATATATTTGTCTGTTTTTATAATTATTATTACACAACATTAATTAGTTTACCGTGAATCTGTTTTCCACAGAGCAAGTTACAGGAGTGTCAGAAGAGGATGGATGAACTGGAGGCCGAACTCCAGAGAGCCAACAATAAAGTCGGACACACCGGTCACCTCCTCAACCAGATGACTGTCAAGGTAAAAGGAACAAATGTGGCCGTTCTCCTGTTTTGCTATTTTAATATGTTTTGTTTTTTTTGTCATTCAGTCATTGCTCAAGACCAGAGATTAGAGATGCACGATATTGGATTTTTGGCCGATATGATTAAACTTATTTGGCCGATAATCGATACCAGAACCGATATTTTTCCTCCTAGATCTACTTAGAGACTCCATAGCTTTCTCTGCTGTGGAATTAAAATACATTATTCTGCATGGTCTTTGTCAATTTGACCTGCTACCAAATGTTACCAGATGTTAAAAAAGGGGGCTGAAAATGATGTAACACTATATAAATATATATATATATATATATATATATAAAAAGGCAACTTTTATATCGGTAAGTTATTTTGATGGGATGTCCGATATTTAACTTTATCGATAATTTCGTCCGATAACGATATCATGCCGATAATATCGTGCATCATTACCAGAGACGATTTGATTCAGTGATTCTAAAAATCGATTAGTTCATTAATGCTCATTTCTCTACGTACAAACACCAAATCTTAATTTTAAAACATGTTTTTATTCATGTTTTGATATAGTTTTCCAAAATTAACGCTATCTTTTTATATATTTTGCTTTTTAAAGATATTTTAGTAGTTTATTTGCAGGGTACAAGTGTTGGTCTTGGTATGATTACAGATTTGAAGTTTTGGATTTTTGCTTCTTTTCTAGGTAAAAGATTCGATACTCCAGTAATTAAAACAACTTTACATCACATTGGCTACGTTTTATTCTCGTAGAGAGCTTCTTATTTGTTTATTCCTGCTTTTCTGAATTAAAGGTGGGCGAGATGGTGAGCAGGCAGCTGGAACAAATTTTATCAGAAACTGAAATTCCTAATATAAAAAGGTTGTAAGTTCAAGAAATAAACATCAAACCAAAACTATCTACAACGAAAGGTTTGTTTTGTGAACGTGCTGACAAAGTTTTAATTTATCATCCGTAGAATGAAAATCGATCAGTTTATTGTAAGTTGTTTTGTAGGAACATCATCTCGTTTTCTTTGCCTTACGTTTAGAAAGCATCAGAAAGCTGCAGCGAGGAGGTGAAGCCGCTCGTGTTCGCTTTAAACTCTTATCCAAAAAGCAGCATTAGCCGTTAGCTTGTTTACAAGTTGCTGTGACTGACGTTGATGAAGTTCACACGACAGATCTGCAGCAACCTATTTTATTTATTTACAGTATTTATCTGATGAATGGACCAAAGTCACAGAGTAACGCTGCCATGATTTACCCTGACGCGCTCTCAAACCCTCTTGGACAGGTTTTATTCCTAGCCTAATTGCTTCTTTGTCCTCCGTCATCGTTGTTTGTCTCGTTTGTCCTTCAGCTGAGCAACAGCGAGAGCACCCAGCAGCAGATGAGCTTCCTGAACAAGCAGCTGCTGCTCCTCGGGGAGGCGCATAAGCTCTCCGTGCAGGAATTGCTGCACGCAGGAACCAGCCATCCAAAGGTACGATGGGAGGCCTGAGTGTCCGAGATCCCAAGAGAGCTCAGTAAAAACTCTTCATCCTTCCACGCGTTTGCTCCACTTTCCACCGCAGGAGGCGCAGATGCTGCAGATGTCTCATGTGAAGGAAGTGGAGACGCTCAGGCAGAGTCTGGTGGTCCAGGGGCAAAAGCTGGAGGCGGCGCAGCAGAGAGTAGCCGAGCTGGAGACCCACCTCTCCAAGAAGGAGCACCTCATCGCAGAGCAGAAGAAGTTCCTTGAAGATGTAAAATGTCAAGCAAAGTGAGTTCAGGTCTTCATGTTGTCTGACAAACTGCTCGTGTGTTTGTGGAATCAGTCTTTTGAATTTGTTTCATCGCACCCGTACGTCTTTGCGTCGCTTCTTCTCGTTTCTGCGCAGGGCGGAGCTGCAGGCTTCAGACAGCAGGTACCAAGCTCAAAGGAGAATCTCTCAGTTGCTGCAGACTGAGCTCCTGCAGCTGTACAGCCGGGTGGAGACGGAGGCTCCGGCCGGCCCCAGCAGCAGGAGCAGGAGTTCACCTGCAGGGGGCGGAGCCGACACGCACACTCCTGCTGATTCCAGGTCAGGACCTCGGCTGTTTTTAATTTTTAAGTGTCAAGTGCACCAGCGATAAAACTACAAACACGTCACTTTATCACTTTTTTTACTGACCGTGTTGATTTGCTTGTTAAAAAAACACAAGTACATATGTTTGTCAGTATTTTTGTCAGTTTTGTTCAGACCATTGTCATAAAACCAAATTATTTCACTAAAAAGAGTTTGATTTTTGTCTACCTCGGAAAAAAATGAACCTATTTAGCCAGTTTTTTTATTTAGTACCAGCTAGTGTTGTAAGTCAAGACCAAGACCTCAAGTCTTGGAGCTCAATCTTTTCACAGACTGTCTTATACTGTCACGACATGGTGACAGTTTTAACAAATATGTAAAAAAAAACCGTAACGTTTATAAAAATATTTTTAATAAAAGTTACATACTGCAACTTTAAGTTTGCTTTTATACATTTTCAAAGCTACACAAAGAAATCAGACATTCAGTGGTTTTTACACAACAATTTTCACGTCATGTGACTCACTGACACAAAACTTCTGTTAAACTTCTCTACTAGACCTGACAGACGAGGCGCCCTCATTTATTTATCATTTTAAAGTATTTTCTAATTTTACATAGTTTATTTGTTCAAAAATCATGGTTTTTGCTCAATAACTGATTAGAAATGCTTTAAAATGAGAGATAAATGTTGTGTGTCAGGTCTGTTAGAGTAGTTTAACACAGGGCTGGACGATACGGCCAAAACTTTTATCACGATATATTTCTTAGTGTCGGTCGATAACGATATAATTCGATATAAACAATATAAAAACCTCAGAAAAACTGTACAAATAAATTAATGTTCACCTTTTATTTATATTTAGCCTTCAAAGAAATTTGAAATCACCGTCAAATTTTAAGAGAAACAAAACAAATTCATCAAAAAGAAAGAAACATTAAGGTGCAGAAAGAAGAAGAATATCTGCCCCTTATTAAAAAAATTAATAACTTTAAACAACAAGTCAGGCTTCAACCCCAAAGCGAAAACGAACAAGTATTTCCGTTCTCTTAAAGTTATAATGATTCTCTTTTTAATCAAATTTTAATTGAATATTTGCGGTTAATATTTTTTAGGAGCTTTATACATGACTTGTAAAATACTATATTCAACCAAATCATAATTTTTTTAATAATCTCAACTCATGAAATAATATATTTGTTGGGTGACCATAGCACTTCCTACTAATAATTCTTAGAGCTCTTTTTTGTAAAATTAAAAATAGGGTTTGTAATTGTTGTGCATGCTTTTCCCCAAACTTAAATACAACAGATTAAATATGGAACAATCATTAAATTGTACAATAAACATAAAGCTTTGTCATTCAAAAACTTTTATTTAGCTATTTTTATTCTTAAGTAATTTACTTGATTTCCATCTTCTCATCAATAACGACATATATATTTAACTTTAAGCACCGTAACATAACCCATGCAGCTGAAGTTTGCTTTTAGCCGAGTAGCCGAACCACTTCCACACCGCCGAATTAGTCTTTCCTCTCTCATCGGTGATGTCATCGGCTTCCTCGTCGCTTGTGAAAGCTCGTTCAGTCACATTCCGACGTCACGGGAACTCATTTTGAAGTGAAAACTTAACGCGCGTTTGAGATTAGCTTAGCTGGACTCGAGCTCTGCGTAGCATCTACGCACTTACGCAGTTGTGTCGCAGCTTTTTCCGTCCGGGTTGAAACTGAAGCAGCCGCTTCGACCGGAACAGAAAAAGAAATGCGTCATTGAAACGCTGTAGTCCAATCGAAATATCGAAAATGTGCTTAAAACTCTTATCGTCTTTATTGAATAAAAGTATATCGCGAGATATATCGAATTATAGTCCAGCTCTATTTTAACATTAGTTTTGTGTCGGTGGGTCAAATGATGTAAAATATATAAATTTTTGTTTCTGGAGAGTTTGGTTCGGTAATTTGTTGACGATCCCTGAGCGAACCATTACGTGTGGGAGGAGCAGACCGAGCTAAATCACCCTGATTTGTTTCCAGTTTAAGAAAATAAAGTTCTTCTCTAATCCAGCTGGTATATGTAGGTGGTTTCCAGTTTAGCCGTATTAGCCTCGTGGTCAACAGGGCAGTGAGTACTGGTAAGTTCTTTCTATCTGGAGAGAGAGCAAGTAAAGTTCTCACCACGGCGCACCACACCATGGACAAGTTATTTAAATATAAAGACGAGGTCGCTCCTCGCGTCGAGGAGAACGGTTTCGGAAACACTTAAAGCTCCACGTTCTCCTTCTTTGTTAATATTTTTTATTTTCGTGTCGTTATTTTTGACCTCCAGTGTCGTCGTGCCACACGGACCAAGTAGAGTTCACCCCCGTGAGGAGAGGGACAGCAGATCACCTCACGCCTCCCCCTGGGGCAACGGCAGCACTTTAGTGTCAAAGCAACCAAAGGCAAGCAACTCTTCCAAGTCCGCGGGCAACTCCATGAACGGAAGTCAGGACCTGAACGCGCCGCGGCTGGTGGAGCCCGCCCGGTCCTGTCCGCACGCCGACCCGCTCACGTCCCTGCCGGCATCGGACGCGCCGCTCACCGTGGGCTCGTACCCCAGCGCCAAGAGCTTCCTGGGTATGAAGGCTCGCGAGCTGTTCCGCAACAAGAGCGAGAGCCAGTGCGACGACGACCTGCCGCCGCGCCTGGCCGGCCTCGCCCACGACCTGAAAACTGAGCTGTGCGTGGAGTCGCCCTCCGCAAGTCACCCCGCCCTCGTCGACCCCACGCTTTCCCTAACGTCGACCTCCGCCACCTTGTCCACCAAGGAGCCTCCGTCTGAGCTGAAGCAGCGAGTCCTCAGCCAGGGAAGTCCCCGCAGGAAGGCAGGGGCGGGGCCAGTTGGAGGCAGGGGCCAGGCGGGGGCGGGTCGCCCTCGGCAGCAGCAGCTAAAGATCATGGACTACAACGAAACGCATCACGAGCACAGTTAGGGGCGTGGAAACGGGACGAGACTGAGATAAAACCACGGAGAAAAGCTACAAATCATCAAAAACAAGAAAAGAGTATCATGTTCACAGCTCGTTGGCATTCAGTGTTATTTGTCCCGTTTTTCTGAGTGGACAACAGGATTTTCCCGCCCCTTTGTTTTAAATGTAATTTTTCTAAAAAATACGCAATCTGTTGTTTGAATTACCAGGTTGTTGACGGATAAGCTAACAGGAAACTCACCGAGTTCTTTATATGTGAAACTGTGACTCTTTTGTTTAAACTCATCCAAATTTTAAACCGCAGGAAGCTCCGGTTTTATTTATCCCACTTGAGATGCCTGTAGGACACGACGACATGAAGGAAATTATGTAATTTGACGTCTCTAATCCAGTTTGTCTTCTTTTTGGTTTTAGTTTTTATGTGAATTCTCACTGTAGGTTGAAAAGTGAAACTACCCTAAATTTAAAAAAAATGATAAAGATTTTAACAACACAACTAACTAAAAGCAGAAATCTAAAAGCTGACAAAATTATTTGTTTCATTTAATAAAATTATCTAATAAATTTGCTTCGATATTGTTCCCGACGGCAGCTGCTAACTACGGAAGAGGATTAGGGCCACAGTGCAATATTTATTTTTCCTTAATTCTGAGGGAAAAAAAAGAGAGAATTCTGAGATTAAAATATGAATTTCAGAAAATCAGAATTCTGATTTTAATCTCAGAATTCTGATTTTAATCTCAGAATTCTCACTGTTCTCAGAATTCTAGCGTTAATCTCAGAACTCTGACTTTAATCTCAGACTTTAACTCCGAATTCTGATTTTAATCTCAGAATTCTGATTTTAATCTCAGAATTTTCACTTTTCTCAGAATTCTAGCTTTATTCTCAGAATTCTGACTTTAATCTCAGAATTCAGACTTTTTCCCCCTCAGAATTAAGGGGAAAAAATTGCACCGTGGCCCTAATCCTCTTCTGTAGTTACCCCTTTCCTGTTACCAATTTTAAAAATATACTTTTGGCACAAAAACGGAACATTTCAGTTTGGCTCTTTGGTCGGTGCGGTCCAACATTTCTAACGTCGAGGTCTTTAGGTGGTTCTGGACCTTGAGGTGTGAACAAAATGTCTCATCAGAAAGAAGCTTTCACTGAGTTGGTGCCAAAGATGAATCATTTAATGATCTTCAGCCAGTGTTTCCACTACTGCGTTTACCAAATTTAAACGAGACACAAACTGTAAAAATGTTTTGTGTGTACCTTCATGTCAGTTTCATCAAGTACGGTCCGATGGGTTTCATTCCTGAGGTTCTGATTGACATTTCTTTTTTGTCATTTTTATTTTTTTTAAGGCAAACTGATCATGAAAGCCGTCTGAAGCCTGTTGTCCACTGGGAACTCCTGCTGTCATTTCTTTCTGCCTCACTATCTAAAGCATGTTCAACAATCCTCTTTAAACGCCAGCCGTAGTAACTACAGCAAACCGGGACTGAAGGTACAATCAGCACAAACAGAAGAACCCAGAACTGCACGGAGCCGCAGAATCTGGGACAAAAAACAAACAGGAAGTTCTTGAAGCAGTGGCTTGTGTTTAACTGTGAACAATAAAGATCGTCTTCAATGTTTTGCACTACAGTTCGCTCTGCGTTGTTTCCATCTTTGTGCTGTTTGTGTCTTATATTTGGAGTAAACAGTTCGGTGGATGCAGTTTATCTCGGCTCTGAAGGAAAATTCACTTTCAAAAAGTTAAAATGTGGGAAAGCATTTTTAACGATTGCACCTTATTTTAGAAGCTACTACCTTTAAATCGGGGGCGCCAACTGAAGCTGGTGAAGTTCTGGTTAGATTTTGACCTTGACTTGTTTTATTTTTTTACTTGTAGCTCGCCCTACTCTTCTACTCGGGGCGGTTCCACTTCATTTCAAACTTGGGTCGTCTACCAGAGGCCTGGGAGTTTGAGGGTTCTGTTCAGAGTCTCAACTGTTCCTAGGACTGCATTCTTCTGAACAGAGATCACTGAGGTTGTTCTTGGGATCTCTTGGATCCACTTTTTCCATTTTGGGGGTCACGGCACTGAGAGCGCCAGTGACCTCTGGGACTACTGACGCTTTGACTCCACATCGTCTGTATTTTCCCTTTCAGCCCATTGGTATTTCTCGAGCGTCTTGTGCTCCTCATTCCTGATGCTACAGTCACTTGGGATTGCTACATCTATCACCACTGCCATCTTCTCTTGCTTGTCGAACACTGCAGTGTCCGGTTGGTTTGCCATCACCTGTTTGTTGGTCTGGATCTGGGAAGTCCCACATTAAGCCCTTACATTTTCCACCACTCTCGGTAGCATCTCCTACTTTGACTGTGGGACCTCCATTCCTTTCTCGGCACAGATGTTTGTGTATATTATTCCAGCCACTTGGTTAGATTGTTCCACGTGTGCTCATCCTTCCTGGACCTTACACCCTGCTGTAATGTGTTGGACTGTCTCAGGAGTATCTTTGCACAGCCTGCCTCTTGGGTCTTGTCTGGTATGGTAGACCCCGCCCTCTATTGCTTTTGTGCTGAGGGTCTGTTCTTGTTCCATGATTAGTGCCTTGGTGCTGTCATTCAGTCCAGCCCTCTCTAGCCACTATAGTATTTCTTGATATCAGCCACTTCCTCAATCTGCTGGTCTGTACATGCCATTCAGGGGCTTGTCTTTCCATGATGGCTCCTCTTGTTCCTCCTCTTCCACATTGGGTTTTTCCTGCTGCCTGAGACATTCACCCATCAGTTCATCATCGGGGGCTTTCCTCCTGATGTACTCCAAGATCTTGATTGTTTCGTCCTGTTTACTGTTCACTAGTCCTCTGCCTCCCTCCTTTCTCTTCAGTGTTTACTCTCAGGGTGCTGGACTTGGGGTGGAACCCTCCATTCATTGTGAGGAGCTTTCCAGTCTTGGATGTCAGCAGCTTCCATCTCCTCCTTTGGTCAGGCTATTATACCAGCTGGGTACCTGATGACTGGCGCTGTATACATGTTGGTGGCTCGGACTTTGTTCTTCAGAACCTGCCGTACTCTGTAGGTACTTGGATGTGGCTGACTTCCTTGCGGCCTCATCATGAAAGCCATTTGCCTGCGGGATTCCAAGACAATTGTAACCGTAGTCGACATCTGCAATGTTGCCTTCAGATAGTTCAACCCTTTCAGTTTTGATCACCTGGCTTCTCTTGGACACCGTTCAACGGCATTTATCCAGTCCTGGTGAGGTGGATCAGTGCTGGCGTACGGCTGGCTCGAACATCACCTGGAATAACAAGGTCTGAGTCAGGTGTTGGGGAACTGGGACATTGCAACTAATGACCTATTTAAATATCTAAATTATGTCTAGACCAATTTCAGTTTTGATTTTTAGATTAAAAAGATGTTGGACACTATACATAAATGCATTTCTACATATAATCTAATCGTTAACCCAATCTCTGACATGTATAGATCTATATTTCAATCTAGATTTCCAGACAAAAACATCTTTGGAGATGCAGTATTTTTCTAGATAACCACATATTGTTAATCTTGTTAAATTCTTATTAAAGTCTTCCAGTGCACGCTCCCGCATCCGCCATTTGGCAGCCAATGGATTTTTGATACAACACTGGCCCACGTTTCCGGATTGTCAGCGGTGACGTATATTAGAGGCAAGTTATACGGCAAAGTAACTTATTTATGTTTTTTTGGCCACTTTATTAGACTGATGCGACTTATACAGCGGTGCAATGTGTACGGCGGAAAATACGGTAATTTATTATTAACTTCAAAACAGTATATTGATTTTAAATCTAGATTTTGAGATTTTAAAAAGTCTTTGTTTCTAGAAACCAAAGTAGAAAGTGATCTAGACATTAAGATTAACATTACGTATTTAGGAATCCACAAGTCCAGATAAAAGTAAACCTGTAGAACATTTCAAACAGTAATTATTAGACAAAACCTTGCATAGATCTTTGTAGCCACAATATGTTTTTGGATAACCTCGTGATTTGATTTCTAGATAAATTAATGGTAAATATGCCTGTTTAAATATGCAATTATATACATGTGTATATATCTAAAGAGATGTTTGTTTACCTTCTTCTGTTGTTGTTTTGTTTAGTTTCCCACCAGAGGACACTGTTGCTCTAAAATCTCCCTCCATGATGTTCGGCCATGTTGGATGAGCCGCCCAGCTGATGGTTGATGTTCCAGGTGGTGCAGATGTGCTGATGAGCTGAAGTTCTGGTAGTTTTATTTACTTATTTACATGTTTTAATGTAGAGGTTTACCTAAATTTAAAAAAAGTCATTTTAATCTTCTAGAAAATACTTTACAGTCTATATGTTTTCAGTAATTTGCACTTTTCTGTTTAAACTGGATTTATTTTCAAATCCATAAAGCTTTTCTGCACAAAAAAAATAAACATTTTAAAATAAATACAGTTTTGCTACAAAAGTCTATTTGAAACGTTACAATTCTTCAAATGCATATTAAAAAAAGGGCATTTTGTGCCAACAATATTTAGCCTTTTTGTTGTATTTCATTTGTTTTGCGTGTAGTTTATGTTTGGACATGTATTTCACAATCCTGGGCCTTTCCGCCGATTCGTTCGGGGAATTATTTCCTTTAATATAACCAACCAAATCTGATTAGTTTATCAAACACATGCATATGTATTGCACGAGAGTGAAGTGAAAAAAATAAGAGAAGTAGTAGCATGATTAATTTACCAGCATTCCACAGGGTCAAGGAAATTGATGCAGGATAATTGGGCACACAGGGAATCGTTGGCAATTTGTGCTTTCAGACTCTACTTGAGAAATTAGATGTCAGTGCAAATGTGAAATTGCTCCTCAATGTTCTCAAAGATTCCATGAAAATTTAAATATAAATCTTAAGTATTTCCAGCAAAGGGATTCTCCCCCCCCACACACACTTTTTTCCCTTCCTCCTCCATGCCAACTTGAAATGAAGCCCTGTGAAAATGATCTGAATGAAGCGAAAGAGGACGAAAGAGACGTCGGAGCTTGTAGAAAGTTTGGGGCTGCACTCCTGAGGACGACATCTTGAGCTGTAAAAAAAAAAAACCTCATGCAAGAATTCATTAGATTCCCTCTGACAGAAAGGAAAGTTTGAATTTGTGTAAAGATGAGTGATTATAATATTCAGGATATGTACACCTTTTATTGAAACACTTGCGTCGGCTTGAAGGAGAATAAATTAAACAGGAAGTTGAGGATAAGTTTCAATTTAAATAAGAAATTTAAATAGTCGCCTTGGTAAAGAAAAAAAAACTTAGAATTTGCTGTTTTGGTGCAGTGGTCATAAGATTTAAGCCTCTCCTTTGAGAATCACTGAAAATAAATAAACCATAATCATCACAGAGCCTGATCAAAACGGGGAAAATTTGATATTTATGCAAGATCAAAACAATCCTAATGCCCGGAAAACTCCTAGTTATATTTATTAAATGTAAGTGTTTATTCCTCGCGGACACACAGCGCAAAAAGAAAATGCTAAACAAGAATATTTTTGGTTACTACATACTGACACAGTGAAAAACGGCTTCATTTGTCCTCATTAAAAGCTTAAAAGTTCATGAATAAATAA